GAAAGGAGGAGCTGTACACAGCCATACAGCACAAATACTAGCCTGAATGAAGGAACAGCCAATCAGGATGAGAATGGTCAGTCTTCTCCCAGCTCATTTCCTTATCCTAGATCCTGGCTTAGTGGCCATAAAAGCTAGAACTACAGCTATTGTTTTTGCTAATATACAAGAAACAGCCACTGTGAAGATGATACCAAAAGTTACTTGTCGTAAATAGCAAGTCACTATTTGTGGCTTACCAATAAATAACAAGGAGCAGAGAAAACAAAGCAATAAGGAGCTGAGCAGACAGTAGGTGAGGTCCCGGTTGTTGGCTTTGACAATGGGAGTGTTCTGGTTCTTGATGAAAACTCCTAGTATCAGAATTGTGAGCACAACAAAAAATAAAGCCAAAAATGCTAAAGTAGTCCCCAAAGGATTCAGGAAAGAGAGAAAATGTAATCTTTTTGCAATACATTGATTTTTGTCTTCATTTGGAAATTGATCTTCTGGGCATTGGAAACAGTTGTCCATGTCTAAAAATAAATTTAAGTGGAGATATAATATAATGAAATGAATGAACCTTTCTGCCAGATTTTGCATAGAATCTTTATTTCAAATATGAATAAAAATTGATAGAAACAAAAATTGTGTGAAATGGTAGAATACTAATCCTAGCTGATTCTTCCTTCATTTTTTCTTCATATTACCCTGAAGTCAAGAATTCTCTGCTCTACTACAAGTATATACATTTAACTGCCTAGAACTAATGGCTAACTGATATCTGTAACAGATTATCATTCTTAACCTCTACCTGCAGGGTGGAGTGGAAATCAAACATTAATAATTATTCTGTGTTCTTAAGCTTACTGCAGAGTTTCACTAGCATCTTTACTGATTTCTAATTACAGTTTGTAATAATTTATTGCACTGACCAAAACTCTAAATCAAAGAAAAAGATTCATGCATAAAAGATCAAACTTCCTTTCACATAATGCAATTATATATAATATTGTCAAAGAAGTCATGCTCTTTATATATTTTGATATGGCAAAAGTTATCTTTGCCTAGTGCAGCAAATGTTCTACCAAGGAAGAAGTAACCAAGACATCATTCTGGATATTGAAAATTTTGATTGTTAAATAACTCTTTCTAAATGATGTATTGTATTAGAGAAGGAAGATAGTCATCCTATATAAATATTTGTAAATGCCTTATGCATAAAGTCAAAAATTTACATAGTAGGTTTCTACTGGAAGAAGAAAATCTTTTTGCAGCAACTGATTTTTTCTGATCAATTATTTATTTTTCTCGTATCTCTCATTCTCTCTCTCTCTCTCTCTCTCTCTCTCTCTCCCCCTCCCTCCCTCCCTCCCTCCTAGCTATTTGTCTATCTCTCTCTCTATCTAATATAGATATATATCTAAATATCTATCATCTACCATTTATTTCTATCATCTACCACCTATATCATCCATCTATCTACCTATCTATCTAGCATCTATCTATCTATCTATCTATCTATCTATCTATCTATCTATCTATCTATCTATCTATCTATCCTATTCTATTCTATCCTATCCTATTCTATCCTATTCTATCCTATTCTATCCTATTCTATTCTATATCTATTTATCGGACTGTCTGTGTGTCTGTCTGTCTGTCTGTCTATCATCTACTCACCAACCTAACTTCTGATTGTTCTGGTGTCTTATTTTGGAAGTTTATCCACATACTCTGATAAACATTCTTTTTTGTAAATTCTGGTATTGAATATATGTTTTAATGGTTAGTATAAATTGTTTAACATGAGAAGTTATTGTATTGACTTTAGTTCCAGCATTTTTTTAATACCAGTGTCCATTGTATTTGTAATTCATAACTGTTTATTATGTCTCCTACCTTTCTGGTCTGAAATCTTCCCATCTGGACAAGGAACACAATTGTAGCAGCAGAATGGTTCTCCTTCTTTCTTTTTTTGTCTGTAACCTGGATGGCATTTCTCATTACACAGAGCAACAGGAAGGATCTATCCATATGGCAAAGAAATAAATAAACATATCCTTGAAAACATAGTTGCTACAGATTTTTTTTAATCTGGGGATCATTTTATAACTGAATAAAAAAAGCATCTGGGTGAGTTTGGAAATTGACCTAATTCAATGACTACAGCTCCCTAACCAGATAAGTAATAACAGGTAATGGTTCCAGGATTTCTCCAGTCTTCAACCCCCCAAATATTGAATCTTAAACTAGAGATATAACTATTAAAATCAAAGAAAGCTCTTCTAAAACAATTTCATGTTTTTGAAAAGAGGTTATTTTAAACAAATCAAGAAAATAATGAATATTTTTCCACTTCCTTGTCATTCTGCAGCTGACTTTGATTTAGAATTAAAAGCTGTTTGTTTTACACGATAGCTTATAGTATAAAATATATTCACTGATTTACCTCTAAACTCAATTGAGTAGAAATCATTTATGAATTACAAAGACTGGGTGCTTTCCCATTTAGCTTTCATATTTGAAATTATATTTGTACTTTACCTGATTAAATGAACTATGCCACGTGATGGCCTCTTCATGAATAGTTAATTGATGACCACTTAAAGCTTGTGGGTCCAGGTATCCAACTTTCATACGAAGAAAAGATTTGTTTGGGAAAGTGATCCAGTTGATAATATCAAATCCAGCTACCAATTCACCATTCTCATCAAAAGATACAGTGTCTCCAGCACTATTGTTAAATGAGATGGTCCTTAGAAAATGGTGAAGCTAAAGTGAAATAAGCAAACAATTTTAAAACATTGTAACTAGAGAAAAAATGTCTCTTGGTTGATGTCATTTATATAATTTATAAAATGGAGAAGTATGTATGTTCAACACGTCATTGTAATAAGAACTTTCCTCTAATATTATATTGTTAAATTTAGGATTTAGGATTTTATTGTCATTTATAGGCCGCCCTTTTCCCTGAGGGAAGGGAGTGCAAGACAGAACATGAAATAATATGTGAATAAAAATAAAACAATAAAACACAACATTCATTCAGCATTCGGGTGGGGCGGATGAAAATCTTATCCCCAGGCCTGCCGGGATAGCCAGATCTTAAGGGCTGTGCGGAAGGTCTGGATGGTGGTGAGGGTGCGAATCTCTACGGGGAGATCGTTCCAAAGGGTCGGAGCTGCTACTGAGAAGGCTCTCCTCCGCGTAGTTGCCAGTCGGCACTGACTGGCGGATGGAACTCGGAGGAGGCCCACTCTGTGCGATCTGATGGGGCGAAATGAGGTAATCGGCAGAAGGCGGTCTCTCAAGTACTCAGATCCACTACCATGGAGGGCTTTATGGATGGTAAGCTTTATGGATGGTCAAGTACTCAGATCCACTACCATGGAGGGCTTTATGGATGGTAGCACCTTGAAGCGCACCCGGAGATCAACAGGTAGCCAGCGCAGCTCGCGGAGGATAGGTGTTATGTGGGCAAACCGAGGTGCGCCCACTATCACTCGCGCGGCCGCATTCTGGACTAGATGAAGTCGCCGGATGCTCTTCAAGGGCAGCCCCATGTAGAGCACATTGCAGTATTCCAGCCTAGAGATCACAAGGGCTTGAGTGACTGTTGTGAGGGCCTCCCGGTTCAGGTAGGGTCTCAACTGGCGTACCAGGCGAACCTGGGCAAATGCCCCCCTGGTCACGGCCGACAAATATATATTAAATATTAATTAAGAATATAAAACAGTTACCTATTTGAATAGAAATTGTTTTATCTAAACTGTTTCAGTTTATGGACTAGCCACTAAAAGCATTTGGGAAACTCACAAGAAAAACATGTAATACCTTCATTTTCATGCATTTCAATAATTTTCAATTATTTCACCCAATAATTATTCATTTGCATCTATAGAAAAATGGATGGAAATATGAAAGAGTGGCAAATTTGTCATGCCACAAGAACTGTGTCAACATTTTGACATTAGTCTGATCTAGTAATTTAGGCACCACAATAGAAACTGTGACTTCTAATCCCACTTTAAGAATGAAAGCTAGCTGGGTAACTTTGAGCGAGCTCACTCTCTCTGAGCCTGACTCACTAAGAGGAATGCTTTTCTGAAGAAAAGAATAATAATAAGTATTGGTACCTACCACCTTGAGTTATTCATAAAAATAATAAAGGTGGAAATTTAAAAAGCTAATCAGTTTGCCTAGCTACATATGTTTTTCTGTTTACTACTGAGAAATCCAACAATCTATAATATTGTTATGATCAAGAACCATTTGTAAAATTTGTTTTTAAGTTAAAGTTAAATTATTATGCATAATATTTCATTTATTACTGTTGTTAAATTAGTTTTCAATTATTCTTGAACATCTGTGTTTTTTTAAATAAGTGAAAAAATACATACCACCTCCTTTGACAATACTGCAAGCAGAATATATTTAAATACAGTAGATTTAAGACAAGTTCCAAATCTTAAATTGGAACTCAAGTTTATCATTATGAAATGATTCATAGAATATTTATCAACCTTCCAAATAAACCAGGAACATATTATCCAAATTGTCCAAATATTGTTTTCATTGTCCAAATGAAGCCTGTTTATGTTTATGATATGAAATCTACTGGATACCTTTAATTCTTATCTTTCCCAATATTTAAAAATGGTAAGTTGCTTTGTACAGAACTATAGGAAAGTTGATTATGAGAACATTCTAGGACCAGTTATCTGGTTTCCATGTGATATTGAACTAATCATACAACTATAGTTAAATAATTCAATGGTTTCAATAATTCAATTATTACATTTACTGTTGCCTTTGTTTTTGTTTTCTTTATTGCTTGCTCTAGACTAAATTTTGTGTTGTAAGCCTTTCAGAGACAGACTTTATTTTGTTATTGTCCATAATCAGGAACCACCACAATTTGGTGGCTGAGATGTCTGACCTTTTGTGAAATATGATAAGATTGTACGAAGTGATTCATGAACCCAGGACAAAATCTACGTTATTTAAATTAGATCTAAAATTAATAAATATTTAAATGAATTAATATAATTCTTCTATCATGTGTATGCAATATTATTTGACAATTTTGGGAGGAGGCTGCAATTAAGGCTTTTGGAGAACCAAATGTGGGTCACAGATTGATGTTGCACATCTCCGTTATATAGAAGTAGGCTTGTATATTGCCATTGATATAATTCAAAGATGGGCAGCCTCTGGGCCTCATGCTTCAGAAGATGCTTATGACAAAACATAACATTAGTGATAAAAGATTTTGAAAGATGTTTTGTCCAACATTCCTATGGAGATTCAACAGAGAGGAGTCTCTTTTTTGGAGACTTATCTTATCAATTTATAAAAATAGGAAAGAAGAGAAAAGAATATTTCAGTTTTTATCAAGAGGCAAAGATATAATGTCCTTTGCACAAAACTCTGGACTGTGATGGCTAGTATGCTGCCCAAAGTCATTAAAGGTTGTGTGGCATACATACATACATACATACATACTTATTTATTTATTTATTTATTTATTTATTTATTTATTTATTTATTTATTTAT